GGGGGGGGGGGGGGGGGGGGGGGGGGGGGGGGGGGGGGGGGGGGTGGGGGGGGGGGGGGGGGGGGGGGGGGGGGGGGGGGGCCTCCACTTGAGCCATACTTACAGCCCGTATTTTCCTTTTCCTTTCCTTTCTTTACTTTTTTCTTTTTTCTTTTAACAAACAAGATCATTTTAAGCATTTTTCATTTTATTTTTCTGCATTGTTTCTATAAAATTTATTTTTCTATAAGTTGAAAAGTTGACTGAATTAAAAGTTGAATTGAGAATTGGCCCTGTGAGTATAGAATTGAGTTATAAAATACATTTTGTATGCTGATGGTACCAGTTATTGTATCTTTGATGCTATTGCTCAATCCCTATGGCAGATAACAGACAATACATTTTGATTGCATTTAAACATGACTCCCAAGTCCTTGTTCGTAGTGTACCAGTCAACTAGTACAAACTGATTCCATTTGCTCCAATTTTCTCAAGCTATGCTTACACTTAAGACAGCTAAACTATCTTTTGTGTTATTATACTGACAAATTACTTCATACTATGTATGCTGGTGTGCTTTAGATTTAGGATTTTGATTTGTGTTAAAGGGGAATAAACATAAGCCTTTATTAAAAGTTTCTGGTGGCACCAAGAGCGTGATAGCATGGTTAGTAAAACTTCTACACAGTTTTTAAAAGATATTTCCATAATTTAGTAATGTGCTAAGTTATTTAATAGTGTACTCACTTTTAACACAGATTTTAAGGGCCTCAAGACAAACAGCAGAATTGTTTCTTTGATTAGTGTAACAAGACCTTTTTGTTTACTTAGAAATACAGTATGAAACATTTTTCAATTGTTAGGCACTGTTATTCTGTTTCTATATTGGTGGAGGACTTCCTACTTCCTCTTCAACTCATAACTTTTGTTCATAGCAGAACCTTCAGGATAGTCTGAAGTGTCTTTCAGATTATTTTTTTCTAGGTGAGTGAGGTGGAGGGAAATTTCTGGAATAGTTAAAATGCTTCAGAATCCACACTTTACTGACTACTCTTGACGGAAATCTATAATAGTTCACTATATATGTATATGTATATATATATTATGTATGAATATATGTGTGATATGGTGTGTATTATATATGTTGGAAGTCGGAAAGTTAAAATACAAGTTATTATATTGTTAAACTGCCTTCCCTAAACCTTGCTTCTTAAGTGTTTTTCCCTAGTAGTTGAAATTTTAATGCAAAAGCAGAGCCTGTCAGTCTTCATATTTCCTAGTAGGATTCAGAGCTGCAAATATATTTATGACTTTATTGTCTATTTCCTACAGTAGTTGACATTTCTATATAACATTTTTCAGCTCAAGTATGAAAATAAACTGACAGTGACAATTTAACTTGATTCTTTGTAATAAAAAGAGGTTTAACTGGGAAGTCATGGTGATTTTAGAACTGGATTTGCCAGATAGGTACAGTACCTGCCATTTGTTGAATGCTTACTATAATTGGAGCATATTCTTATATAGAACTCTCTCCCCCCACCTTTTCCCTGTCTCTCCCCCTCCTGGTTTTTTTCCCCTCCCCCTTCCCTCTCTTTCTTTCTTTGCTGTGCAGGGATCAAACCATGGCCATTAAACTACACCCCAGTCCAAGATATTTATTCTTTACCATTTTATATTCTGATTAATCCCTAAAATTAATTTTAAGTTTTGGAATATGTGACTTTTGGGTTTATTTTAATTTTATTAATTTTATTTATTTTTTTATCATATTATTGTTGTACTGGGAGTAATTGTGACTTTAAAATGTACTTACAATATATCTCAGTTAATCCACCCCCTCCAGCTGACAGTGGTGACTCACACCAAGATCAAGAGGATCTCAGTTTGAAGTCAGCCCCTGTGCACATATCAAAAGACCCTATCTTGAAAATAGCCAAAACAACAAAGGCTGATGGAGTGGCTAAATGGTACAGCGCCTGCTAGCAAGTATGAGGCCCTCAGTTCAAATTCCAGCATTGCCAAACAACCAAAACCCAGTTTTTGAGGGTAGGATCCATTATACTTTGCTGTGTTGATTGGGCTTATTCTTTCTGCCTGTTTGAACTTAAGTGGTAGAGCACTTGCCCTACCTGCTAGCAAGCATGAGGCCCTGAGTTCAAACCTCAGTACTACCAAAAAAAAAACTCCCCTTTTATCATTTCCTTTATCCCACCTCTCGCATTCTACACCCTTTCCTTATATCCTTCCCCTCCCATTGGTACCAACCCCCCAGACAGGACCTGTTTTACCTTCCTGTCCTCCATTTTTGAAAAAAGAATAAAAACAAAAATCATTTTGTTTAAGAGCTCTATACAGGGAGTATCATTATGACATTTCTCTGTGTGTGTGTGTGTGTGTATTATATCCCAAATTTGTTCATCCCCTCTATTTTTCTCCTTTCTACCTTAGTCCTCTTCTTTACCATTTATACACTGATTGTATTTAAAATTAATTTAGGGATAGGTTTTGGAATATGTGACCTGTGGTGATCCATTTCTTTTTAATTTTGATTATTTCTTGCATTAGACTCTAGTTTTGTGGTATAATTGACTTTTTGGTAAATAGCTATTTTCAGGTTGAATTTTTTTTTTTTTCTTTTAAGTGATACTGGGGTTTGAACTCAGGGATTAATGCTTGCAAAGCTGGAGCACTACCATTTGAGCCATGCCAGCAGTCCATTTTGCTCTGGTTATTTTGGAGATGGGAGTCTCTTGAACTATTTGTCTAGGCTAGTCTCTAACCATGATCCTCCCAAGTAGCTAGGCCTATAGGCTTGTGCTACTGGCACCTTGGCTGAATACCTTGATATTTCTTACTAGTGCAATAAATTCTAAGAAATTAGCCTAAAGTTTTTGCTTTTATTTGAAGTTACTAGATCTCAACTGAGTCTGTATAAACTAATTTTATAAAGAGAAAATTTGCTATAATGTTTTTGAATTATATTTGAACATTTTTCTACGTATGCTCAGACTATTAGATAACTTATCACTACAAAAATGTCATTAAAATTCCTTTGCTACATTTTAATATTTTTGTTTTACTTTGAGTGCTACTTAAAAATTTTAAGTATTAAGACTATTGGCATATATGGCCATTATTGCCTTCAGCTAAGACTTCACTGTATTCTTCACTAATTTTTTTCAGTATCCAAAGCACTTTAATTCATATTCTCATATTTTGCATATGTTTAAAATATAATCCAGCATAATTAAATGAGCACTCATAAAAACTACCATACAGCTTAAAAATTACAACATTATCATTGCATTCACCTGCATATTTCCTGTATCATTCTTTATCTTTCTTGTGGTGATAATCACTATTCTGAATGGTGGTTTTTTTATTCATTCATTCATTCACTTTTGAGTGCTGGGATTGAACCCAGGGTGCATGCCAGGCAAGCAGTGTACAAATGAGCTGCATCCCCCCGATAGTATTCTGAATTTTGAATTTATCATTTCCTTGGTCTTCATAACTTTTTATCATGTGTGATATATAAATAGTATGTTACTTGTGCTTTTTCTTGAGCTACATAAAAATATCAACATTACCTTTAAAATTTACCTATATTATTGTTTATAAGCTGCTGTGTAACAGTGTGTTAAGTGAATATGCCAAGTTTATCCATTTTTATGTCAAAAGACATTTGGATTGTTTTCTAATTTTTTGCTAATATAGACAGTGATACAGTGAACATTTTTGTGTATGTCTGTTGGTACACAGGTTCAAGGGTCTGTGTAGCATATATCCTCGGGAATAGTTTTGTAAGTAATGATATTTGCATCATCTGCATTGCACCATTTCTTCTTCTTTGAATATGCCCCTCTTTTACAGTTTTCAAATTTTTGGTGAAATTTACATATCATAATTAACTGTAATCAGTTGTAATTCAGTGGCAGTTTTCCTAATGATTGATGCACATCCATCCATTATCTTTCTCGTTTCAGTACAAGACCCATAGGAAAATACCCCATTTTCTCCTTCCCAGCCCCTGGTAATTCCTAATCTGCTCTCTGTCTCTGGATATCTCTGTTCTGTATATATTATATTAAAGGAGGCATAATTAACTTTTGTGTCTGAATCATTAGCATAATGTTTTTGAGGTCTGTTTAAGTTGTAGCATCGATCAATACTTCCCTTTTATTCCTGAATAATTTTTCATATATAATGCCATCATGCTCATGGCCTCAAACTGTGATCCTTCTGATCTCAGCCTCCCAAGTAGTGAATTACAGGTATGAGTCATTGGCAACTGGCTTAGAAAATTTCTCTTGATTTTGCTGGATGCCAGGGTGTACCACAGACTAAGAAACATGTTAGCTCCTTTCCAGGTTCCCAGCCTAATGGGAGTCTCTGGCTCAGCATTCCCACCTTGATGCAAGCCCAAAGTTTTTTTGATCCTTCTCAGAGCTGATAATTGCCACAGGTATCCCCAGTTTTCATATATAACACTGTCTTGTTCCTGCTGCTCCATATTCACTGTTTTGTTTGGTTTTGAGATTGCTAGGCACCTCTGAAATAGGAACAGTAGGTTAAATTGCTTTATGTAGGAGCTAGTATTTTGTGGTGGGAGAGCCCCTTGAATTAGTTCACTGAGTAGAAGAGATTTTTGTAAATCTTCCAGAGTTTAAAGTGGGTTAGCATGTGTATATTGGAGTCTAATCAGTTTTTCTTGATAAAATTTGGGTTGGGAGTGTTTTAAAGAACATTTTTAAAATGTAACATGAAATATAGTTACTGTTCTCTTCATAAACATTATTACATGAGTGTCAGATTTTCTTTCTTTCTTTCTTTCTTTTTTGGTACTTGTGTGAGTCATTACCCCCAGCACCGCCCCCCCCCCAGTCCTTTTTGACTTAAGTGATTTTTTTTTTTTTTAAAGTGGGAGTGGGGTTTCATCTAAGGGTTTCGTGCTTTCAGCAGGCACTCTACCACTTGAATCACACCTCCGGTTCATTTTCCCATTTTGCTCTGGGGCGATGAGTGGGGCGGCAGGTCTTGCCAAACTATTTGCCTGGGCTGGCCTTGAACCTCGATCTTCCCAATCTCAGACTCCCAGTTAACTAGGATTACAGGTGTGAGTCACCAGCACCCAGTTTGCTTTAGTGATTTTTGGAATAGGGGCTCTCATTTCTGCCCAGACAGCCTCAGACCTCGATCTTTCTCTATGTGTTACCACCTTTTTTGTGGGATTGCAGTTGTATACAACCACATTTGTTTGTTTGTTGAGATTGGGTCTTGCTGACATTTTTTTTTCTTGGACTGGCCTCGAGCTATGATCCTCCTGATTTCAGCCTCCCTGGTAAACTGGGATTATAGACAAATGCCACTATGCCCAGCAGGTCGTATCTCATATATCCTAAAATGCATTTGTTTCAAGTGTACAGTTAATGATTTTTCATAACTTAGAGATCCAACTCTCATTATGTCAGGTTTAGAATTCTTTTTATTCCTCCATTAAAATCCTTCCTTTCTATTTATAGGAAATCCTGTTTCTTATCTAGCCCCAGGGAAACCACTACTCTGTCTTTTTTGGATTTTTATGTAAATGGATTCATACAATATGTGGTCTTTTGTGCCTGGCTTCACTTAGCATATTTTTGAGGTACATCTATGAGATAACACTTCAATAATTTTTAAAAAAATTATAAAATAATTTAAATAACTAAAAAGGATGGTTTTTCATTGCCTAGATAATACCACATTTAATGTATCCATTCACTTGTATCAATATAGAAATGTGTATTACTATGATCTCTAGCAGTATAAAAAAAAAAAACCAAAAATACATTTCTAGACTGACATTTGTCAGCCTTACTAAGTATATTATAGTATGTTTGTGACTCGGCATCTTTTTAATGAATTGATCCATTATAGAATGCTCTTGTGTAATATTGTCATGATTGTATCCAGGGAGTATTGTTCTTTTTACCAAATGTACGTAAATAATTAAGCTTAGTTATTATTTCTGTATTTCAGAGTTTTTTTTTTTTTCCTTTGTGTATGTAATGTGTTTTTGCTGCTATCAGTGTGCCTCTAACACAGTTCACAGGCCCTGACAGTGCAAGGGCCTGAGAATCATGAGGAAAAAATAAACATTGTGCCATTCGCTTGGCCACTTTGAGAGTTACTTGTGCTTTTCTATACTTTAATCTTTTCCCAGCTCCTGTGTAAGAGAGTTGTTACTGCTTTCCTGTTGTTTTACTGACCATGCTGCTGTGCATCAGTACTTTTCTTGAGGTATTTAGGTACAAAAGATGGTTTAAATACTAGGTTCGATTTAGAGACAAACATTTCAAAAAAGGCAGAAGTAGTACATGGATATTATATCTTAACTATTTAACCTGTCTTACACATAATAATAAGCATTTGTATCATTTTGATAAAACTTATTTCAATCATATATTTATCGTATTTTCCCTTTTTAAAACTCACGTTGGACTTCTGGAATGGCTCAAGAGGTAGAGTGCCTGCCTAGCAAACATGAGGCCTGAGTTCAAAGTCCACTACTTCCAAAATAAATAAGTAAATAAATAAATCTTATGTTGGAATTTAAGTTTTTTCTTTTGCAGTGCATGGGTTTTGAACTCAGGGCCTTATGCTTATTAAGCAGGCATTCTTCCACTTGAGCCACTCCTCCAGCCTGAAGCTATGTTCTTTATTAGAAAGGTTTAATAAAAGGCTTTATAGCTGGGCACTGGTTGCTCTTGCCTGTAATCCTGGCTGTTTAGGAGGAAGAGGTAAATAGGATTGTGGTTTGAAACCAGCCCAGGCAGATAGTTTGTGAGACCCTATCTTGAAAATACTCAACACAAGAAAGGACTGGCAGAGTGGCTCAAGTGGCAGTGCGCCTGACTAGCAAGCATGAGGCCCTCAGTTCAGACCTCAGTACAATAAATAAATAAATAGCTTTACTTTCGTGGCATATTTAGAAAAAAAAGTTGAAAACTATTCTCTTGAAACTTATCATCTGTTTAAATTTTATTGATGTTAAAGGTACTTCACAGAATGATGATGGCTCTAGACCCAAGGATGAAGCAAGGTAAGAGCTCACTGATTGCATACCACAGAATGCAAAGACATACAAGGAGAATTAATGTAGATTAATTAAAATTTCAGGTTCACATTGATACAAGAGTAAATATCAAAAAGAATTCAAGATTCAAGGTAAGAAGAGAAATACCTGAGAAAGATATAAGACTATCTGATTGCAGCTGTCCTGTGTAGGCCAAAATGATGAAATTGCTGACACTTCCTTAAGCTTGAAGAATGTGAATATATTGGCACTTTTAAAAGGGAACCAGTTCTGAATCAGTGATAGCTTTGCATATGTGCAAAGGTCACTACTAGATGTGCTATCATCTGGGTCTTCATAGATTTGTTCCAACTGCTTGCTATTAAGTTAGGGCAAACAAATAAGCACTGTTTTGTGCTTATCTGCTTACAGATGTGGTCCTAAAATATGTTGAAAGCTTTGACTTATGTTAATTTACTTAAACTTTTGTATATTGGTTATCCTGCATACTGGTAATGGGGATAAAAATTGGGAAATTTTCCTACTCTTAAAGCTATAAGTGACATGTTATAAAGTCACATTGGAATCTGTTTTTCACAAATTGTTTAAGAAGTGGGTAGGAAGAAGGAGCATTGAAGGAGTAGCCAGGCATGGTGGTATAGGCATGTAATATCAGTATTTTGGAGGATCAAAAGTTTAAGGTCAGCCTGGGCTACATAGTAAGACTGTCTCTGAACAAACAAACAGAAGGAATAGTTAGGGAAGAACCTGAAAATCAGTGTCACAGAACAGAAAGGAAGCTGGCAGAGTGCCTCAAGAGGTAAGAGCACCTGCCTAGCAAGCATGAGCTCCAGAGTTCAAACCCTAGTGCTGCCTAAATAAATAAATGAATAGAATAGAATAGAATGGGAAATTATCTAGAAAGACAGTTTTGTAGTGTCAGGTGCTGCAGGGGAAGATAGGTAAAGCACGTAGAGCAAAATGTTGATGATTGTTGAAACGGGATTGACAGATACATGGGATTTGTTGTCTTAGCTACTTTAATAATATATAAAAATTTTCATAATAAAACATTTACAAAGACAACTTATCAAAATCTTTTGGAAGTGGGTGTAGTTGCATATACCTAATTCTAGCACTCAGTAGGTTGAGCCTGGTAGATCATGAGTTAGGCTGCTGGGCACTGGTAACTCACACCTAGTAAACCTATCTACTCAAGAGGCAGAGATCAGGAGGATCACAGTTTGAAGTCAGCCTGGGCAAATAGTCGGGAAACCCTATCTCAAAAATACCCAACCAAAAACGGACTGGTGGAGTAGCTCAAATGGTAGAGTGCCTGCCTAGCAAGCATGAGGCCCTGAGTTCAAACCCCAGTACCAAAAAAAAAAAAAAGGTGGAGGCCAACTTGAGCCATATAGTGAGTTTTGAGACCATTTTGAGCTATGTAGCCAGACCTTCTGTTAAAAAAAGAAAACAATCTTTAGAAAAATCAGTTTATAAAGTGGTTGTGTCTTATTAAATAGAAATCTACTTTCATAGAGTCACTCCTGTGACAAAGACTCATGTTCTATACCAATCTTGCAAGTGGTAGGAAATAAGGTGTTGTAACTTCTTGCTTGAGTAATTACTTTTTTCACTTTTCACTGTAAGTGAAAAAGTAATGGAAAAGATTTTTAAAATAAAATAAATATATCTATAGATTGGAAGACAACTTCATATGCTTCTTTTGTCACTTTTTAGTATTAAATTTAGTATTCAATTTTTTAAGTTTCTGCAATTGCCGTTCTATTTTGTTGTTTTCTTGAGACAAGGTTTCACTATATCCCAGACTGCACTCGAACCTTTGATTCTCTTGCTTTACTTGGAGAGTATTAGGATTACCTGTATGTACCTCCATTGCTCAGTCATAAATATTTGATTATTTCAGTTTGCTTCAGTCATTTAACTCCTTTTTCACATAAATTAACCGTATCTTTGCATTCAAAGTGAGAATGTGATAATGCTCTTTAAGAGGTTCCATTACTATACTGTGTTGCTTGTGTTTCTTTTTTTTAGATCTTTTTCTTACAATATTTATGAAACCATTTGTTCTCTTGACATTTTTTGCAGAAGCCCTCCTAGAGTCCCAGCTTTATGCCATTTATTTAATCAGTGCTTTATATCTTCCCAAATGCCCAAATGAATGATTATTGTAAATATTTTCAGGAAATAGTGTCTTCTGGGGTTTCTATGCTTGCCTGACAAATCTTTCAATGTGTCTTTTGTGTTGAGCATAATTCCTGTTCATTGATTTTTATTACAGAGGACTTACCTCTGATATGATGTGTTTGAAAAGCATTTTGTAAACTGTCAAATGTGGTTTAAATGTTACTTCTATTAAAACTCCTTAGACCAATTAAATTTAATAGAGTTTAAGTATACTAAAACAAAAATGATTTGTGAATCTGCTTACAGAGCCAGAGTAGGTTCTGAAAACTACAACCATGTGTGACACAACATTTATGAGAAAAGAAAAGCAAGACATCGAAAATGTAATCAACCAGTCAGTTGATAACAGCTTAGTTACTTATTTATAGTCTAATCAGTTAACCAGCTACAGGGCCTCCTGCTCAGTTATTGTGATCAAACACTATTGGTTTGGCTGTTGCGTCCAGTGCGAGCACCTGGTCCAAATACATGGCCTAAATGTGATTTAATGCTACACACACTGTGTAGTATTCATGGCCATGGCTGCCTTTCCTCCTTCACATTTGTTGGCAGATTTTATAACTGTCAGACTAAAAGGCAGAGCAACATAAAGAATGGCTTCATCCCCCATAGTTATTGTTTAGGAAATTTAAACAACCTTAGGTTATTTTACCTTTTGTCCTAATTTAAAAACTGTCAATTAGTGTCATGAATATAGTCTTGTCAATCTGCTTTCTCCATAATATATCTGGATGTTTTATATTTCTCAGTATTCTATCATTTGTATGAAGTACCAAGATGATTGGTGCCTCATGTTCAAGATTTTTGTGTTAGATGAGCCTTATCGATTGTTATCCTTTGATTTGAATATTTATTACAACCTTATACTAACATGTTGATTCTCCATGGGTCTCTATCCTATGCATAGACATTTGTGCTTATATATAGGTTTGATGTGTACACACACACATTCACACTCACACACAGTAAAATAAGCTGAGATTTGTGAAAGTGTGAAGGAAAGGAACATAGCTATAATAGTACATAGTTAGTAACTAATTGCTTTCCAAAAGTGGTGGTGTTGATTTCACTGAAAATTGTATATAGTGTGTAGGTTTCATGTTGGCTCTTAAAATCTTAATTTCCAGTTCAGTTCTGTATTTTATTAGAAGAGCTTGAAGTTATAAAGAGAACTATATTAAATCATCAATGCTATTTTAGTATGACTGTGCTTCTGAAGCTTTAGAATACATAAGAATCACCTAGAGGACTTGTGTTAAAATCTGTTAAAATACGTATTCCTAGGTCTCATCCATAAGTTCCTGATTCATTAGCTCTGGGTGGGACAAGGTTTGCCTTTCTAAAATTTTAAGGATGCTGCTAGACCAGAGCCTACATCTTGAGAAGCAGTGTGGTTAGACACATGGGTTTTTTTGAGATTACATCAAACTATTTGGGGATGTCTTTGTAGTTATATACAAGATCAGTTTCTTGGAAGCCAAAGCTTACAGAATTTGCTGGAAATGTCACTCCATCTTAATTTTGTATTCTTTTGCTTCAGAACCTGTTGAGTCTTTTAAATTGTTTTTGCTTTTATGTTTAAGAAATAATATAGGATTCTTTTAAAAATGTAAATAAAGCAATGTTAAGAATACAATGTGTGAATGACTCATGGATGACATAACAGTTGACCTAAGACCTTAAAGTACATTATAATTTAGATATGCATGTCTTAGAGGAAGGGAAAGGAATTTTAGGTAGAAGGAAGAAAAATAAAATCATGGAAATGAGAACAGCCAGGGTTGTTTTATGGGGAATCTTCGGTCACAGCCTTTTATTGATGATAGGGCAATTAAAAGAGAAATGGCAACTGGTCAATTCAGAAGGGAATCAGTCACTTTATACTTACTGCCTCTCATGTGGTAGGTACTATACAGAATATATTTCTTAGTTTTTTTTTTAGTTAATCCTTAAACATTTCTGTGAAGTAGGTACTATTGTTTCATTTTTATAGATGATGAGAAAACTGAGCTCAGAAAGGGAAGGAAACTTGTCTGAGTTAATAGTGTATATGGCACAGTTGAACCTGGGGATTCCCTTACCTTCAAAGCTTGAGATCATAACCATCATGCTTTACTGCCATCTGAAGTTGGAATGATATATAAGTAAATGCTTAGCCTTTGATAAATGTTAGCTATCTTTAATATGAGAGAAGTTATGGCCAAATGGAGTTGGTTTGCAAGTAAAGACTGAGATGGAGTCCCCCCACCGAGAGGAATATTTAAAAAATACTTGGATGGGATTGGTATGATCAGAACTCTATAGGAAAAATTATTTTATTTGGAATAGTACATATTGTAGTTTGGGTTATGTGGTATGAGTAAAGATGTGAAAAGCTACTATAGCATTGTACAAGTGGTAATGAAGGCTAGAACTGGGACAGTGATGGTGGAGGAGTAAAGGGAGACCTGTCAAAGTTGGATCAAGAGTGTTTTTTTTTTTTTGAGACAGGGTCTTACTATGTAGTCCTGGGTTGGCCTTGAAGTTGTGATCCTCATGTTAATCCACTCAGCCTCCTGATTGGAACTTAGATACATTGAATATCTGGAGGCACAGGGGGAAGAAAAGTAAAATTTCCTGGAGAATAGCATTGTTAGTGATAGAAGCAAACCATAGAAGGGAGAGTGGCTTTAGGATTAGAGCATTATTCTAGATATCCTGCAGCATTTTTTTTTAATATATAATTTGATACCAGGATTGCAGGGAGTCAGTGTAGAGATTATTATTTGGGAATTGTCCTCAGAGGTAGTCTTCAAAAATCATGGAATTTGAGATCTTAA